CAATTCTGAATCGATTCTGAAAATTCAAAAACCATTCGATAGATATTGGTTGGGAATCGTGCTGATTAGTTTTTGGTAAAGATCGGCCGGGCCATTTTCTTGTAATAAAGTTTTAAAAAAAAAAATTTCGACGATTTTTATGATTTTTTTTTTGACGGTAGATACCATAGTTTTCTAGGTCATACTAAAATATTACGGCCCTACGACAACTCGTTTAGCTTTAAAAATTCGTCAAAGTTTGCAAAAATTGGTATCGTTTTTTTTGACATTTGTCAAAATTAGACTTTTGATCGACGTTTTCTCAAAAACGCCTGAACCGATTTCAGAAATTTAAAAGCCATTAAATGTATCTCAATGAGGACTATCGTTTGTCAGTTTTGTGCGACGATCTGTCAAGCCGTTTCTTTGTAATTTGAAAAAAAGTGTTAAACTTTTCGTCCACATTTAAGCTCATCCTACCGAACCGATTTTAAAAAATCAAAAACTGTTCGAAAGATATTGGTTGGGAATGGTACTAATTAGTTTTAGGTGAAAATCTACCGAGCCGTTTTATCGTAATTAACTGTTGAAAAAAAAACTTAAGCCGATTTTTATGGAATTTTTTTTAGCGATATATACCATGGTCTTATAGAACTTACTGAAATATTACGGCCTTACGACAAATAGTTTGATTTTAAAAATTCATCAAAGTTTGAGAAAATGAGTAGCTCTTTTGACATTTGTTAAAATAAAAATTAGACTATTTACTTGGTATAATGATAGAGTACTTAGTCTAGAACATAATAAACTATTGAAGTCCTGGAAACTGGTTCAATTATAAAAATTATTGATTTTTGAAAATGTGCTTTTAGAAAATACTCCGAGTCAAAGTGTTCGTTCGTTTTCAATTATGTGTAATAAATCCACTCGGAAAACTTTTAATAACTCATAAATTAATTTATTTTTTATTGATTAAGTCGATTATTTAAAAATATCGGGAAGTTCATGTAACTCGCCTCAAGGCTAAATACCAAACCAACTAGTTTGCAAATGCGTTTAGACTGTGACTATGTTGGAGCACTTTTTTAATTTTGTGTAAATTAGGCAACTATTTTTTTTTAAATTGAATTCGAAATGAAATGACTATTGTAAATGTGATAATTGATTTATGATTTACATTTGATTTGCTCAGATATAACAAAATAGCAAAAATAATGAAAGTTACAGTATTTGTAATAATATATTTGAAAGCGTTTAAAATTTCTCGAATATTTCATTACGGTACGGGAAGTTCCAGCAATTTGCCTTAAGGCACGATGCCATACACCACTAGTTTGTAGTTATTTTTTTACCTGTTTCTGGTTTAACCAAAACATATGCCACAGGTGAACTTGAGCCACTCCTTTCTGGTGACACGCCATCTCTGGACGTGTTTGTAATATTTAGAGGACCTGGTTGGTGTAAATTTTGTTGTGGTAGGGTTGTATTTGGTGTACAAGGGCATCCTGCAAGGCAGGACCAAGGGCCGTAGATTGGGCCAGCGTACAAAGCCTAGGAAAAAAAATATAATTAGTTAAAAGTGATAAGGGATGGTGATTTTGTGTTGATTTTTACCTGGAGGTGTGCATGTAGGTCTGCGGCTGCTAAATGTGATTCTAGAGGGTTTGCAGTCCATGGATAGAGGAATGGATTGAGAACTCCTGAAATTAAATATTAGAGAGTAATATACTTCAATTACAGTATTTTAGTACAAACAGTTTTATTTTAAAAAAAATTTGAAAATTGGTTCTTAAATCTTGTTGTACCGTGATGATCTTTTTTGACACGGTCGCTGTTTTATATAAAATATTGTATCACGTGACCCAATTTTTTTTACTATATATTCAAGTAGACATATTGGAGAGTAACATACTTAAATTACAACATTCTAGTATAAACAGTTTTATTTTAAGAAATTTTTGAAAATTGGTATTTTAAGGTAAACTTTGTTTAATATCTTGTACCGGGATGATCTTTTTTGACGCGATTGCTGTTTTATACAAAATATTGTATCACGTGACCCAATTTTTTTATTAAATATTTAATTAAACATGTCAGAGAGTAACATACTTAAATTACAACATTCTAGTACAAATTTTGAAAAATCTTGTTATACCGTATAACAACACTAGTCTTTTTTGTTACGATTTTTTGATACGATTTGATTCGTTAATTTTTTTCTAAAAAAAATTATGCCACGTGACCTATTTTTTTGATTCAATATTTCATTCAATATTTAAGTAAACATATTAGAGAGTAACATACTTAAATTACAACATTCTAGTACAAACAGTTTTATTTTAAGGAATTTTTGAAAATTGGTACTAAAATTTTGTTCTACCATGATGATTTTTTCACGCGATTGCTGTTTTATATAAAATATTATACCACGTGACTCAATTTTTTTTATTAAATATTCAAGTAAACATGCTAAAGAGTAAAATACTCAAATTACAACATTCTAGTACAAACAGTTTTATTTTAAAAAAAATTTAAACTTTGTATAAAATCTAGTTATACCGTGTGACTACAATGGTATTTTTTGATACGATTTGATGTGATAATTTTTTTCTAAAAAAAATTATATTACGTGACCCAATTTTTTTGGTTAAATATTTAAGTAAACATATTAGAGAGTAACATACTCAAATTACAACATTCTAATACCAACAGTTTTATTTTAAGAAATTTTCGAAAATTAGTATTTTAAGGTAAACTTTGTTTAATATCTTGTACCGTGATGATCTTTTTTGACGCGATTGCTGTTTTATAAAAATATTGTATCACGTGACCCAATGTTTTTTTATTAAATATCTAAGTAAACGTATTAGAGAGTAACATACTCAAATTACAGCATTCTAGTACAAACAGTTTTATTTTGAGAATTTTTTGAAATTTTGTTTTAAAATCTAGTTGTATCGTTGACAACAATGGTCTGTTTTGATATGATTTTTTGGTACGAATTGATGCGATAATTTTTTTCTAAAAAAATATATATGACGTGACCCCATTTTTTTTTATCAAATATTTAAATAAACTTATTAGGGAGTAATATACTTAAATTACAACATTCTAGTACAATCAGTTTTATTTTAAAAAAAAATTGAAATTTTATTGTTTTAAAATCTAGTTGTGCCGTATGAAAACATATGTTATTAAAACATGATAGTCTTTTTTGACAGAATTGAGATTTTAGACAAAAAATTATTCTACATGCATTAATTTTTTTTATTAAAACTGTAGATAGGTATCTTGGAAAGTATTTTATTTATATTACAGTATTATATTTTAGTTCAAACATTTTTTTCAAGATTTTTTTTAAAATTGGTCCTAAAATCTTTTTGTACCATTATGATCTTTTTTGACGCGATTGCCGTTTTCTAAAAAATATTGTATCACGTGACCCATTTTTTTTATTAAATATTCAAGTGAACGTATTAGAGAGTAACATACTTAAATTACAGGATTCTAGTACAAAATGTTTTATTTTTAAATTATTTTTGAAACTTTGATTTAAAATCTAGTTGTACCGTACGACAGCAATGGTCTTTTTCGATACGATTTTTTGGTACGATTTGATACGATAATTTTTTTCTAAAAAAATTATATCACGTGACCAAATTTTTTTTATCAAATATTTAAGTATATATATTAGAGAGTGATATACTTAAATTACAGCATTCTAGTACAAACAGTTTTATTTTAATATTTTTTTTGAAAATTGGTCTTAAAATTTTGTTGTACCTTGATGATCTTTTTTGACACGATTGCTGTTTTATATAAAGTATTATATCATGTGACCCAATTTTTTTTATTAAATATTTAAGTAAACATATTAGAGAGTAACATACTCAAATTACAGCAATCTAGTACAAAAAGTTTTATTTTTAAATTATTTTTGAAACTTTGATTTAAAATCTAGTTGTACCGTACGACAGCATTGTCTTTTTTGATACGATTTTTTGGTACGATTTGATACGATAATTTTTTTCTAAAAAAATTATATCACGTGACCTAATTTTATTTAATAAATATTTAAATAAACAAATCAGAGAGTAACATACTCGAATTACAGCATTCTAGTATACATAGTTTTATTTTAAGAATTTTTTGAAACTTGGTTCTAAAATCTGATCCGTGATGACGTTTTTTGCTGTTTTATGTAAAATATTATATCACGTGACCCAAATTTCTTTTATTAAATATTTAAACAAATATATTAGAGAGTAACATACTTAAATTACATCACTCTAGTGCAAATAGTTTTATTTTAACAATTTTTTGAAAATTGGTCCTAAAATCTTGTTGTACCGTGATGATCTTTTCTGATACGATTGCTGTTTTATATAGAATATTATATCAAGTGGCCCATTTTTTTATTAAATATTTAAGTAAACATATTAAAGAGTAACATACTCAAATTACAACATTTTAGTACAAACAGTTTTATTTTAATAATTTTTGAAAATTGGTCCTAAAATCTTGTTGTACCGTGATGATCTTTTTTGACACGATTGCTATTTTATACAAAAAATATTTGTTTTATGTAAAATATTATGTCACGTGACACAATTTTTTTTATTAAATACTTAAGTAAACATATTAGAGAGTAACATACTTAAATTACAGCATTCTACTACAAACAGTTTTATTTTAATAAATTTTTGAAACTTTGCTTTAAAATCTTCTGTATGACACCATGATGGTCTTTTTTGACGCGATTGCTATTTTACACAAAAAATTATTCTACGTGTATTAATTTTTTTTTGATAAAAATGTAAATGAATATCTTAGAAGGCATCTTATCTAAAATACAGCATTTTAGTCCAAACAGTTTTATTTTTAAAAAAATTTGAAATCTTGTCGATCGTCCTGTTTGACACAAAAATAATAAATTCGACTTGAGTTCCTAGACACAACATATTTTTTGCAAAAGAAGACAATAATTTTTCTCGTGTGTCCATTACTTTCGAAGTATTTTTTCATCCCTTACCTTGGTTTCCGTACCAAGTCGGCACCCTATTGACATCCTGTCTACCAGAAAAATTTAAAGGTCCAGGAGTTCCCAATACAGCCCTGGAATTTGTATTGGTAAAAACTGTAGAAGCAGTATTAAACATATTATCTTTGTTTGGAACTGATCCTTGGGTTGGCATCATCAATTGGTGACCAGGTTGTACCTAAAAATGGTAAAAAATATGAAATTTATATATTCAATAAAATATTAAGCTGGTGTATGAATTTTATTCCTTTACCTTGTGGTATGGTTGCCCAGTGGTATGTGGTGTTCCCTGGTTTGGTAAATTTGTTGAAGTTTGTCCCTGGACCGTTTTGGGTTTTCTTCGGGGTCTGTATTTGTAGTCGGGGTGTTCTTTCATGTGCAAAGCTCTGAAAAAAAAAATAAGTCAAAAAGTTAATATTATGTTTTAAGTCGTTTTGAATCATTTGGCACAAAATTTGACATTGAATGTGTGCCATCATTCTGCATATGAAAAAATATTTATTGGGTGAGATGGAATTTCTATTGGTCTTGCTAGTAGATATTAGATCTAAGAAATTTAATGCAAAAAGGGCAAATTTACAGCAAAAGCTAGTGGTCATGGAATCGTGCCTTAAGGCAAATTAGTAGAACATCCCATGACATAATTTAAGATTACTAAACGCTTTAATTTTATTTTATTATTGTATAGAATTTTTTTTGTGTACGTTTCGACACTGAATCTGTGTCGTCCTCAATCAATTCCAAAGATGTTTATTATATACGTTTTGACACTAAATTAGTGTCATTTTTCAGATATTCTGAAGATATTCACCCTGTTTGTTTTGATCTTAAATCTGATTATTTTGAATAATTTATTTTGTACGTTTTGACACAGAATTTGTGAATGAATGAATGAATGAATAAAACTCATTCATTTGTCTCTAAGTTATACCTAAAACATTTTTTTTAAATTTTCAAAAAATTTTTCATGCTCTTCCCATACAAACTTTGATTGAATTGCGCTCTATCTAAACGTTAATATTAAAAGCTAAAACTTTCAGAGAATTGTTTTTTATCTATTTGGAACCATTTGAGCTCCTGGGAGCAAGGAAATTCGAAAATGACCATTTTAAGGACCAACCTAATATATATATATATATATATATATATATATATATATATATATATATATGATTTAGTAGTTAATTTTGATGTTGAAATATATGAGTGAGTTCTTGAGGGCGATACATCAAACAAAGAAAAGCCAAAGATTTATAAAATAATCTTTATTTCCAAACGTTTCGACATTCAATTTAATGTCATCATCAGTGGATATTACGTTGGTTAGTTACATATAGAGAAGTGTACACAGCACTAGAGATTTGGCACTAACATTTATACAACTAACTTGTCAGCACTATGCATTTTTTATATAATTTTTTTGTATGATGTAAACAGAAAAATGATAGTTTTATTGAACAAAAATGTAAGTAGAATTATGTAATTTCTGCCACGACTTCTGTACTTTGCTAGTACCGAGGCATGTATCATACATGTATCATACATGCCTCGGTACTAGCAAAGTACAGAAGTCGTGGCAGAAATTACATAATTCTACTTACATTTTTGTTCAACAAAACTATCATTTTTCTGTTTACATCATACAAAAAAAAATTATATAAAAAATGCATAGTGCTGACAAGTTAGTTGTATAAATGTTAGTGCCAAATCTCTAGTGCTGTGTACACTTCTCTATATGTAACTAACCAACGTAATATCCACTGATGATGACATTAAATTGAATGTCGAAACGTTTGGAAATAAAGATTATTTTATAAATCTTTGGCTTTTCTTTGTTTGATGTATCGCCCTCAAGAACTCACTCATATATATATATATATATATATATATATATATATATATATATATATATATAAGATTATATTCGTGCTTAGAATGACAAAGCCAATCGAACACAATTGAGTTTCTCTGTCAGAAAAGAAACGACATTTAATGTTATTAATCACCATGTCAGTTCCTAAACACATTTACACTAATATCTACTATTTTAGAGAATATTTTACTACGAAATTTTATTAATTACGCCGTGACGTATTTTAGATTATCATTTGTTTTGCAATCCTAATCATAATGACAATCATAACGCGCAAGATTCAAACTAAAGAAAATTAGGTATTTTTCTTTACATAATATATATATATATATATATATATATATATATATATATATATATATATATTATACCAAGTCTGTTTTTACACGGTAGATTGGTTCCAGAAGAAGCCGTGTAAAAAAAAACGTGTAAAAAAAGACAGTGATCTTATACAAAAATAGGCGATTTGTTCCTAATCTCTAAAACCTATTAAAATTAGTGAAAAACAAGAATTTTTTAGAACAAGAATTTTTTAGAACAAGAATTCATGTTTATTTTATTAAATCAAATATATAATGCTTATTTTCACAAGCATAGTAATTAATGATAAAAAAGATATGAACTCTAATCTTAAAAGTAATATAAATTAAATGTATGGCAAGTTCAGGAACTAAAAAACTATGCTGTGAACGAAAAAAATAGGTTATTCAATTTTTAAAAAAATAAAATAAAAAAATAAAATTCACTTAAATCTTTAAGCTAGTGTTTGCAAACTATCGATACTATCGATGGTTTCAGACTTTTTTCTTTCATAAATACTTTTTTGTGATATGAACATACTTCGCAAAAATTAAATTTGACAAAGAAAATTTAAGTACATAAAATTTCAAATCGTGCTAAATGGAATAAAATCGTGTAAAAACATTAAAAACATACAATTTTCAAACAGTGTTATATCAAAACCGTGTACAAAAAGACCGTTTAAAAACAGACTTAGGTGTATATATATATATATATATATATATATACACCTATATTTATAAATCTTTTATATCGTTCGTCTTTTCTTTATCTTAATGTCGTAAGACCACAAAAAGCGCTCTTTGTCTCTTTTATTTCTCGACACCCAAACCCGCCGCCCTTCATCCCCCAAAGAAAAGAAGGAACAACCCTTATGAGTGTCGGGAGGAAGCCGCGGGGCCACCATCTTGTTTCCGTTTGAGATAAGACAAAATGGCTGCGGTGCTAAAAATAAAAAAAGTCGAGCATTATTACCGACGACTTGGGGTAAAAGACTCTTTTGGGGGATGGTGAGAGGTCGAGGAAAAATCTGAGGTTGTGGATGATTGTTTCATTATAGATTGGAAAGAAGTAGAGTTAAGAATTTTTTAACGGTAATATTTGAAAGTAGAGGGCAAAAGATGCATGACTCGCCAACACCTTGATTGTTACGAGGTTGCTATCTGGAGATGAACGCCAAAGTTTGAAAATCCTTAACAAAAGTATTTTCTTTCGCTGTTAGTTTTTTTGGGTCGTGAGCACTGTTGTTTAATTTACGAGATTTCAATATAATTTTTAAGTATACGTTAGTCAATTGTTTTATAAGATGTAAAATCGAATTTTCAATTTTTCCATATTTCAATAGGTTATATCTTTAAAAAAAACATACCAAAATTTTTAATCGATATCTTAAATAGTATAACGAATCAAGTATATAGTATAACGATCATTTAATCTTTAAACGCGTTTTTCTAAAAACAGCATTTTCCAAATTTGCTGCAGCGATTACTCAAAAACAAATGATTCGATAACTATCGAATTTTTTTTACATGTTTTATATATAGTTCTCCGTAAAATGAACTATCGATTTTTTGATCGGATCAAAAATCGAATTTTGGCAGTCGAAAAACGACCAAAATTTTGGGTAAAATTCGACTTTCTTTAAAAAAAACGCCGTCATTTTGTCAATTTTTGATTTTTTTTCTTTATTGTAGTTCATTTTACATACAATATTATCTAGTTTAACAAGATTTTTTTTTTTAAATTTCATCCACGTAGAAGGCCAGAATCACTGCAGCAATGAAGGGCCTTTTTTTGTCGCGCCGTTGGAGATCGACGATAACTTAAAAAATATTTAATTTTTTTCTTCAAAAATTTTACTATGTATTCTAAAAACATGTATAAATGTATTTCTAAAATTTTGAAATGATTGATAAAGTAGTCTTTTTAATATAAATTCCCAAAAATCACCTTTTTTAGGCGGTTACACTAGTTGTGCCCCTTAAGTTAGATTCAACAGTTTTTTATTTAACTTTTATAAAAACTTACACCTGGGTGATGTAAAAAGGACCAACTGAACTTTCACCTTGGCAAAGTCGTCAACAATAAAAAATAAATTAAGTTAAAAAAAGCAATTTTACACCATATAATTTAAATATATGTGATTCCATTTATGCTGATGGTATTTCAGACGAATTGCCAGATCAAGGTTATATACAGTGTAAAAAATACCTATGAAGTTCATATTTTGTATTAGTTCAATAATGTAGCTATTATTTCGTAAAATTGCTTTGAAGTTAAAAATAAGATTTAAAATACAAGTGGGACAAATCAGAAATTAGTTTTGGCTTTATCGAAATTTACTCGAGTGTTACATTAACATTATAATTCCATTATCAAGAATACAAAATGTCTATTATGATTACCCTTTCGAACCCTTCGACTAAAATTCAACCCTTTTGTAATATATATATATATATATATATATATTAAATAAAATTCAGTTTAGAGTATCGAGTTATAAATTATAAGTTTGTTATAATGTTATGCAAAATTTTACTATTATGCGATATAATTTGATTGAAGCAGTTTTGTAGATAATTTTATGTACTTTCCAAAAATGTAATATGCTTGATAAGTCTCAGAACAAATTTTCAAGATATTTGCACAAAACCAAAAAGTGCGCACGATTATCGTGCCGATTAAGAATTGTTTGAGTGTCGAGTCATAAATTATAGGTTTGTTGCAATTTTAAAATTTGAGTAATAGAACTGCAATTTTGTCGGTGCCCTTAGGCGGTATAAATTTAAATCCGGACCTGTATACATGTATATATATAAACATATATATATATATATATATATACATGTATATATAAATTTCTTCTTCCAGCAAACATAATGCGCTTATATGCATAATGTAATATTTATGATAAAGACATTAGGCCCTTATCAACGGTAAACATTGAGCCGCACAAAAGAGACAAAATCAACTCTAAACGACCCTTTGTTCCATCTTTGGTCCTTTTCACTCTTAAAAAGGACACACATTCATCCCTATACACACACAACCCCATACAAACACACACAATACACCCTCTTTGGAGAGAAAGAAAGTCGAGTACGATACATTAAATGAAAAAGATTTTTTTCTTGTTTTTTTTAATTATTTTAAGTTATTCAAGTACTACATTTTCTTTAGAATTTTAGCAGTTTTTTAAGGCAATAAAAAAAAATTAAGACTAGAGTCAAATTTTTAAAATATTTTAAATAATTTAACGAAGTTTTACGTTTGACGACTCTCTTCCATTTCAAACAAAACAAGAATAAAATTGTGTCAAAGTTTCGTTTTGTATAGATTTATATCGGTTTTCAAAATAATTTTTAATAATTGAAGTATAGGATTTGTTCAGAATTTTATCAGCTTTTCAAGTCAACCTAAAAAATTTTGAGGCTAGAGATAAAATTTTAAAATTTATTAAATAATACAAAAAAGTAACGATTAACACTTAATATATTAACCGAACTCATTTGAAAGACATGTCCTAAAATTTTTAATATATCTTAAATTTTTTACTTTAAACATAAATATGCTTTCATTAAATTTAAAAACTGATAAAATTTTAAACAATAATATGTACTTGGATATTATAAAATATTTAAAAATATTATAAATCGAAGTTAAAAATAGTATAAATCGAACATTATTTTAACGTTTATATATTAGTCATTATAATGATGACATTTTACTAAACTTTTGATACCTTTTGTTAACCACGTTATATAATACATTATATATTATTTGAAAGCTGATGAAATTTACAACAAATTCTAGAACTTACTTAATTCAAAAGTTGCAGAAGGGATTTTAAAAAAAAAAATAAAAATACCGATACAATTATTTCCCATATTAGACGAGGAAAAATTGTGGCGCCTTATTATATATATATATATATATATATATAATAAAAACAACTGTCTTTTCCTAATCTTTTAACGGTTTTCTATTTATATTATTTATATTTATATAAATGTCTGTTAAAGTTTAAGAGAGGTATTTTTATCGTACAAACAAATAAATTCATTGTACCTTCCTTTTATGATAAGGCTGATAAGGAATAGAAAAAAAGAAATATATATACACATATATATATATATATATATATATATATTATATATATATATATATATATATATATATATATATATATATATAAGTGTAAACCTACGTTATATCCCTTAAGTTTAACATATCTTGTTCAAATATATTTATATTTCTCAGAGATAAAAAGACAGGAAATTCATTTATAAACGTACATTATGTATATAAATATATAAAACTTTATTATATATTTTGTTCAGATATTTATATAATTTACCTACACAAAATTTTAATTCAAAAGCCTAATTTCGAAGAAATAAATTTATAAAAATGTATGTTGAATATTATTTTAATATTATCCAAAAATGCTAAGTAATAATTTTATGATAAATTTTATAATATAAATATTTTTAACTAACTGAAATTATTTTTGTTCAAAATTTCAAGTCGAGAATTATTTTATTTAATAAAAAAATATTTATTGTCTTGAAATTTTTCCCTATAAATTTTATTTTAGAAAAATAATTATTTAATGTATTAATTTAGTACTTACCTTAGTCTTTTTGCTTCGTCTATAAAAGGCCTTTTTTGGGATTCTGTTAAAAGTTTCCATTCTGCACCTAAAAATAAATAAATAAATAAAATTTATTTAAACTTTATCAATCAATTCTTAAACAATACATTTTCTTACTCCGGTAATTAAAATAATTGTAATTGAGTTACTTGTACAATAAAAATTTCAGACAATAATTTATATATTTTTGAACTCAAATTATGCAACACATATATTTTCAAAAATTAATATAAATTAGTTTCCATTGTACTAGATTGATGAAAGTATTTTTAAAAATTATTACAAGTATTAAACAAATTTTGCATAAACTATAATCATACAAAAGTTACACAACTTTGTGGAAAATCACACTTTTGCACTTGTTGGTAACGTAAAAATTAATTTTGTACCACGCATTTTCAAAAATCAAAACAAATCACTTCCCATCGACTTACACCAATGGCAATATTTTTAAAAATTACTTCAAACCTTAAATAAATTTTAAAAAATATTTTAATTCTATTACCCTTACCCAATCTTTTAGAAATTTCACTATTGTGCATCTTGGGATTGTCCTGAGACATTTTCCTCCTTTGTCCCCTCGACCAGACCATGAAGGCGTTCATGGGCCTTTTGATGTGGTTGACGTTACCCGAATTGTGGTTTATTGTTTGGTTGACAACCACGTGGTTTACTGCCATTTTTGGTTATAGGATTTATTGGTACAGGTTTTAAGTTTTTTTGGGCATTTTTTAGAAGTTGAAAATCGGTTTTGGGACTTGGTTTTGCCTGAAATACAAGATAAAGGACATATAAAAATTTTTGTTGTTTGGAAGGTTTTTGTAAAGTAATTTGGTATTTAAATTTTGTATTTATTTATGTAGGTTTATGGGGATTTTTATAAGCTTTCGAACAGTGTATACAATTTTGTCTGTGCCAGAAGAAGTTTTTGAGATATTTTTAAAAATGTCACCATGGATTTTTAAACATAAAGTTTGTTTACACATTTAGATGCAAATTTTTAATTTAGTTTAAGATGAAAGTTTAGTATTTATTTATACAGTTTCTTAGAGAATTTTATCAGCTTTTAGATGATATATGTAGTTTTATGTGTCTTCTTGAAAGTTTTTGAAATATTTGTAAAAGTTTCAGTCATATTCAAGAAATAGCAGAAACTAATCATTCTAGTTCAACGTTATGATATTTTATTTGTTCTTGTTTATTTAATTCTATATTTATATATATATATATATATATATGTATATATAAATATTTATTTTACTCTATTTATATAACTTACGAAAATACTTGATAAGTTTTTTTAATGATTTTGACAAATTATTTAATAATTAATTATGAACTAATTTATTACTTATTTATTAAACTTAAAAAAGTTTCATTTTCAAAATTATTTTTTTATTATGAATTTTGAATCTAAATTAATTAATTGTTAGAAAATATAACTATTAAAATATTCAGTAATAAATTTAAATAATTAATTTCGCAAATAAAGTAATTATTTTTGTCATTTTATTTAAAGAAAGAATTGAAAACTATTGATAAAATCAAGAATTATTTAATAACGCTTTTAGAGGCTAATATTAGCATTTAAAATATTATTTTATTTATTATTATAACGATTTAAATTTATTTATTTACAAAGCCACATATAAATTAATATTAATTTACAAAAATCTGCAAAATCGCTTGTCTTCAAAAAAAAGTAATTTAACATGATAATAAGTTGCAATTTTTATTTTTAAACAACTAATTTTTTATAAATTGTTTTTAGATTTATTTATGATAATTTCAAATTATAATTAATAATTGAGTTTATATATAATAACTAATAAAAAAATCTAAAACTAATACTAATTTCTAATTGAAATTTTATTAAATCGAATTTAAATTATTTTTATTCAATACTAGCTATGAATTTAAATAAATAAAAATATTTTTATTATTTAAATTGTTGGGATATTTATATAGGAATGTTAGTTAAAATAATTAAAAAAAAAATATAATCGTATAAAATAAATTTAAAAAAATAATCACAAAAATTTAAATGAATATATATATATATATAAACATTTTAAAAAATATTACTAAAGCCCACAAAATAAATTTTTTATTTACTTAATCGAGTAACAACTTGTAAGAATTTTTATTAATAACTTAAATTATATTCGTACCCAAATTATAACAAAAACATAAATTTGCTAAACGTGATCTATTATCAAAACAAATGTAGCATCCTTTATATTAAAAATTTGATTTTAAAGAATGCTCATTACTAAGATAAAATTTCATATTAAAAATTTAATAATCAAATTTGATAAGGAGTTGTTTTAAAAACTAAAAAACGTTGAAGAAAGTTTTAATTTATTTTATGTATATATTTATACCTCACCTTTTGTGTAAATACATTTTCTCTTTATGTAATCCAGCAAGTATTTTATGCACTTTAAATTTTAATTTTTATCAAATTATAACGAAAAAAATTTGTTATTAGTTTATTTGAATTATTACTAATTTAATTACTAATTTTACTTAATAAATCTAATTTTATTAATTAAAATTCTTGCCAACAAATTTTAATATTTATAAATATTTGTCTTTATTTTTTTATTATTGTTATTGCAAACAAAACATTATTTAAATTTAAGCTATAATTTTAATGAATAATTCTAAATATTATAAACAATCCTTTATTATTATTATTATTATTAAACAAAATAATATTATTATTATTATCTTCCGTCAGTATTTGATTTTTATTATTATTATTGTCCTTCACTGGCTTTGAGTTCTTAAATCATTTTATACACTTTTAATTTAAATTTCTATTTATTTATAAAATTATTTATTACTATTTAATTGTTGATATATAAATATACTACGAGTTTTAAACTACAATTGCAAAAACTTTTTTGTCGATATTAATAATTTTAAAATTAGTTCATAAATTTCTAAAAATCACATTTATTAGTTATGAACAGTTTTGATTTTTATTAAACAAAATGTTATTTAAATTAAATCAGAATTTTAGATATTACTA